TGCCATGTGCTTGTCTTTTTGTGTGTGCTTGTGTGTGTGCGTGTGTGTGTGTGTGTGAGAGAGAGAGAGAGAGAGAGAGAGAGAGAGAGAAAGGGAGAAAGGGAGAAAGGGATTGGGGAGGGAGGGAGAGAGGAACCTGGTCCTCATACAATCTAATGACTTTTATTGCTACCGGAATCATTTTAAATTACTATTGAAGCATTAATTGTTCCAATTTTAAAAAACCTTTAAAGCCACAGAGTTTAAGTAGAAGTCTAGAGTTTAGCACCATATTTCTGTGAGTAGCCCCTTCATCGACACAGGCTTTAACTGACAGACAGCTTTAGTCTGTAAGAAGTGGCAACAATTGGTGCTAACATAAATGGCAGCAGTGTGCAGAACATTCTAATTAATGCCTCGAGCATTATTGGTAACTGTTATGTATTGGAAAGCCATCTCTTTATTACACCTTAGGCTGAAGAAATGTGACCAGATGTGTTTTAACTTTTCTCCTCCCAGTACTGTTGAAATTGTTGACTCTGTTTAAACTTTTATGAGCTTCTATTGCAAAGCTGTTCTTGAGAGGAACAAATGGTAATAGAATTGGAATTGTAGCGAATGAAATGTTCTCCTAGCGTTATTGCTTATTTGTATGGAGGATTAATTTCTTTTGATACAAGGCGCTCATAAATACAGAGCAATAATTTTAATCAAATACTCTGAAGAAGAATCAGTCTTTAAAAGTTAATTCATCTGCTATGTGCAACAGAAGCAATCACCTTATCATTTACTAAGTTGAAGTTTATAATCTTATAGGATATCTGAAAAACAATCTTCTTGTATTAAATACTGTGCAGAAGACAGTGGATTGTTTTCTACTCTTACATAATCGGGGGAACATTGAAGTATAAACCAGCCCACTTTTTAAAATTCATTTTCATTCTGTGTTTTTTAGTAGCCTTTGCTTTGCTCTTCATGTATAAGACAAAAGGATCAATAACAAGAATAAAAACCACTTTTATCTTACGAATCCCTATTTCTCATAGATTGCTCCACTGAAGGCCGTGATTCCTATCTGTATTTATCCTCATTTGTACTCCCTTTTAGAAATCATCCGATTTATGCTTGTTCACTCAAACTTATGGTTGTTACTTCTGGCACAGAAGTCTTTTCAGAAACCTAATTTAACAAGTTGTATGCTATCAGAATTCAAGGGTTATACAGCAATTTCATTTGCCTTTTTAGAGTTGGAATCCGAGTTGAATTTCCTGTTCTTAACCTGCTGCTGAAGCACGTTAATTAATGACTGAATTCTTTTCAACTAACAAATGATACAAGAGTTCCTTTTTCTCTGTTGGTGCTGGAACGTGTCATGTCGTTGCCCATTAAATATGTGACAGCTGAAGTGAGAAGTTCACTATGTTGCTATAAAAATCTGTGTGAGCACATCTTTTTTCTTCTTCACCCACCCGCTCCTGTATTGCTTGAATATTAACAGTGAAGTTAAGTAAGATTGAACTCTGTTCTTGATTTTTTAAACTCTAAAAATTTTTAGCAGAAGATAGTATGAAGTATGTCCTACAGTAAACTTTTAAGACCCAAGAGTACAGAAAATGGATATATGACTATTTATCCTTCTATTGTATAAGAAACATTTTATTCATACTAACAGTTGATAAAGCGCCAATAAATTGTCACAACATATTTTCACTTTCCTTAACATCCTCCAAAGCTTTATTTTAGACACGTTTTAATTTGAATGTTAGTGAAGATGAAAGAATAATCGTAGATTCTTTGTAAAGTGAACTACTAGAGCCATAGGATGAGCACCAAGCCCACGAGAGCCAGGATCACGGGACCGGGAGCCTGAAGTAGGGGTCAGGAGTGGCAATATGCCAGATCCCCGCCCCCCTCAGGAATTATCTAAAAAAATCAGTCACCAGTCAGTCAAGTTAGAGGGAGAAGCCTTTTGAGCGAGGTGCAAATAGGGCAGGTAGTGGAGAAACTGTAAATGTCAACAGCTGTATTGCCAGCGTACCTGCTCACACCGTGGTAAAGGATGACGCTGACGCGGAGGTTACCTGCGACAATGAGAAGTGAATGTAACTCAGCTGGAGCCCATGACGGGCATAGGAAATCTCCTCCTCAGCCTCTCATCTTGTCAACCCTAATGTACTTCTCGACATGGCTGGACTTTCTAACCTATACTTGTAAATGAGTATGGTCAGAAAGTCGGCCTTAACCAAACTCGGCATTTAAAAAAGTGCGTTCTGTAGTTCTAGATTCTCAATCAAAAAAAAGGAAGGAAAAAAAAAAGAAGTTCCATGATTCAATTAATTTGAAAGTTCGCGTATTGAACGTTGTACTTACCATAAGCTAGAGTGTTGATTTTTTTAACTTTTGGCATTTTTGTTCATTTCATTATGCATTCATTTATTCACCAAATACTTATTAAATTCATCCTGTGAAGCTGACAACCGTTAGATATGCTGGGGATGGGATGAGGGACAAGGCAGATCGAGTAGATTTGGTCTACACTCTTAAATTTACAGTCTGGAAAGAGAGATGTTAAAATAAGCAGCTGCAGTATAGTGGGTTAAGGGCTAAAACAGGGATATCCAGGGCTCGGGAGACAGATAGCAAGGCTGCCTCACCTGGTCTAAGAAGGATCCAGAAGTGGGTTTCCTGTAAATACCGTCTATGCTGAAAACTCGAAGAGCAGGTAGAAGTTAGACAGGTAACTCCCAGTCATCAGAGCAGCAGCAACAATAACGAACAGGTAAAGCCGACATGTAAGTACACTACTGTCTGCCGTGTACTGTGCTAGGTTCTTTCCAAGTGTCCTATTAGCGAGCCCCTGGGGAGCTTTTTACTTACCCAAGATCACATGGCTAGCAATTGACAAGAACTAGAATCTCAATCCTGATTGGTCAGACTCCTAAGGCTGACCCCACTACAGTCGCTCAAAGAACTAAACTGATTTTATTAAATATGTTCCACTAAAGCAAAAAAGAAAAGATGTTTCAGTTGTATCTGAAGTTTGCTTTTTTTGTGATTGTCATGTGGTATTTTTTTCTAATAGTTACACACTTTATAATTTTAATAAGTTATGGTAAAATTTGGCATTTGGGTAGAAGTTTCAGAAGTATATGACAGCGCTAAAGTCTGAAGTTCCCATTCCAAGTAGTGTCTCACACACAGCAGGTGCTCAAAACAACACAGTTGTAATCCTTTACTTTGAATGAGTGGTAGGGGCAGTTTGAAAAGATAACTTTGAATTCTTGTAAAGGAAGGAGTGACTCACATTTAAAAGTCATTTAAATCTCTATATGACATGATCAAGTTGGCCATAGACTTTGTTTTTGTTTTTTTTAAGATAGAGTATGTGTAAAAAGTGAAGATACAAAAATTGATCCCCTTATAAATGTCTGGACCTACCTATCACCAGCAGCTTGCGAACACACATTTCCGCAAGAATATTCACAGGTGATGTGAACCTCACATCTCGTCCTAGGAGGAGCCATGTAGCATTAAGATAGCTTGCTATTAATACTTCTGAAGATGCTGATCTAATGGAAGGTTAGGTAAATGATAGCAGGTAGATTTAAGAAAATAAAATGGATGGCCCTAATGACTGCAGAAATGTTTAAAACCCCATGGTTCCTGGAGTGGGGTGAGAGAGTCTGGCTTCCTCAACTAGTGGCAGTGGATTGGGCCAGGGCTGGAATGTGTGATGCATAGACGCTTGGAGTGTCAACATGCCAGTTGTCAGTAAACTCGCCATCAAAATTATTTTTAAATAATGTAAATAATGTATATATAATCCATATGTGTGTGTGTGTGTGTGTGTGTATGTGTATATATATAGTTTGTTTTGTTTTGTTTTTTAAATCTTCCCTCTTCACCCTCAGGAGGTGATTTTGAGGAATGAAGTGGTTACACAGGAAAGAGAAATGATCTTTCTTTTTATCCAGAAGGAAAAAGAGAAGGAAAGAATTTAGATGATCCGTAAACCTGGATTAATTCCCAAACCCTCGTAATTTATATCTACATCCGCAAAATACTGTTGCCGATTGGAATTTCATTTGCTATTTTTATTCATTTTGGGAAAAACAGGATAATGAACGAAAAGAAATGCCCGTGTGTTGTATTTTCATCACGATCGAATGTCAGTTTTTTTCCTTACTAACTAAAAAATGTGTTGGTCTGACTTTAGGGACACCACAGTGCAAACCCTTACTCTGCAGCCTTCTGTGAAGGATGGACTTATTGTTTACGAAGACTCGCCTTTGGTTAGTAATCCAATTCTATGACTATTCTCAGCTGTTTTCTTTTAATGAACATTGTATCTCAGCCTTTGAGATGGGAGCGTGGGGTCTCCCAGAGATTCCGATATATTTCAGCCTTAACTGAAAAGCATGCATTTATATGTCATTTGGGAAGTGGATATTTAAAGGCAGATAATTTGGAGGAGAATAACATGGTTCCTTATTCTGTTCTCTCTCCAAAGTGAGAGATTGAGAGATGATAAAAATCCTCTAATGATTTCTTTTCCATTCCGAAATTTTAAAAAGAGAAAGAAAAAAGCTTGCTGTTGTTTTCGAATGCGTAGAGTTTGAAGTTAGGTAATGGTTCTGGAATGTGTTATATGTGATTTTAATGAATATAATATTAGCTGAGTGTTTTGGGCAGCTGGGACTATCCATTCCTCAGCTTCTCACACCAGGCCCTAGGAGATCCCAGCCTGCCAGCCCTCCCGCTGCATAGAGAGCTCCCGTGCAGCAGATAAGCCATCGTGGGAAACCCTGTGGTCCACACCTTGATATTGGGAGTCCCTAGGGTCCCCTTCCTGAATTCTCCCAGGTCAGGCCTGGCTTTTCCTGAATAGAGAAGTAAAGGCTGGGGATGGGAGTAGAAGCTATGTGTTTTCTCTTCGTTTTAAATTCAGTTTACTTCTATCCTAAAATTAAAAAGTCCTTATCAGTTTTTTTTTTCAGAATATGGAATAAAATATTTATGGTAGAGGGAATTACTTATTTCTCAATCTGCATTTCCTTACAGTTTTTTACCGAAACTATGTAATGAGAGAAGTTTAGGATTTGGTCCATTTCATGTTATGAGAGATTTCCTTACTATTTAAAAAATAATCATCTTTGGGTTTTCATTGAGTATCTCTTTCTACCCACTCTCTGAAAGTGTTCTAAAGAGTTTTTTCCTAGCTTTTATCTTTCTTTTCATAACGATGCCATTGTCTCAGTCACGTACGACCTAGGACTTTTTCTTATTTTCCCTTTCCCGCCTTCTCATCCACTCGGTCACCAGTACTGGAGGTTATTCCTCTGAAAACCCGTCAGATCAATCTAATGCTTTTTGTTTCCATTTTCCCTATGTCTTCTCCCCTCAAATCAGGTCCCTAGACCCCCCCTTTTTTTTTTTTTACCAAATTATTATGGTAATCCCCTTTTAATTGATTCTACATATTTCTGCCAGATGAAATGTCTTAATGCAGCTCCAAGCTCCATTCTTATCATGTCTGAACTCATAAATCTTTAGTTATATCCCGTTACTTAATGAGGGAAAGTACTTTTTTTTTTTGGTCTGGCAATCAAATTTTTAGTAGTAGATCCCTGGATTGTCCCTTTCAGACTATTGTCCCTAGTCTCTATTTCTTTACTTTAACCTCTGCTTCAGCCAAAGTAGACTATTCGTGTTCACTCTTTCTCTCAATAGGCTCCAGGATGTCTTGAGTTTGACCGTTGATTCCCTTTGTCCTGAATACTCACTTCTTCACCATCAATTCTGGTCTGCTAAAAATCGTACACTTTTTAGAGCCATAACAAATGGAATGTTCTAAAATCCACTATTTATCATGAGGGATGACTTAGTTAATCCCCGTGGGACTTTAATTTCTCTATTTGTTATACTTGTTTTAAATTTCCCCTACTTTGGTGTGTAACATGTGGATATCACCAACATAGGAAATAAAGTGATTACTACAAAGTTATCAGTTTCGTAACTGTGAAGCTTTTGATGGAGATCCGTAATTGTTTCCAGCTCTGCTACAGACTTTTTTTTGTGACAAGTCTATCCATAACTTAAATATAACCAGCTATTATAAATCCAAAGGGATGAATGATGAAATTTTTTAAATGTTTGCTTTCATTTTTTGTTTATGATAAATGTTCTGTCTTCAAAGGTAAAAGCAGTAAAGTTGGGTCATGTTCTGGTGATAGATGAGGCAGACAAGGCCCCAACAAATGTCACCTGTATTTTAAAAACTCTGGTAGAAAATGGAGAAATGATTCTAGCAGATGGAAGACGCATTCTTGCAAGTGAGTATGAAAAAAAAAACAACTTTTCTTTCAAGATTTGCAATTTTTACATCTCTGGTATGAAGTCACACCCTTAGTTGGCTACTTATCTACAAGCAACAAGTGTAAATTTAATATACCTCAGGTTGTCTTTAGTGACAGTCATTTATAAAAATCAATATGTTTGAATCTAGCTTTGTCAGTTTCATTTTTTGTAGCCTGAGAGTATCTTTGAAAATTTCAAGAGTCATTTTAGGACAAATCAGCTTCATATCTTTTTCTCTGAGAATACCAACACATAATTTTTATTATACTCATCTCTCAATTATTTGTGTGCAATTTATTTTCTTTCATTGTTATCTAAAATTTTTTAAAGCTCTAGCATGTTTCTATTACAAAATTAAAATAAATGTTTTTAGCTGGGCATTTTATTTTATACATGTATTATATGTGTGTGTGTGTAGATATGTGTGTATATACATATGTATTACACACACATCTACACACACACACACACCTGCCTAAGAAAAAGCTTATCCTCCATTTTAGATAATCTTCCTTTTACTTATTTACTATTTTCTTGTTGTCATTAGGGAAAATGTAGGTAGATGGATCTCATCAGTCTGTTTAACCTGCAAAGAAAAATTAAGTTTGTCTAATGCAATGTGAGAACATTTTCTAATTTCTAATCTCAAATTGTTTGTGTCATGAAAAGACTTCAAGATCTATGACTAACCATCGAAAATACGTAGCCAATAGCAGGGTAACCAAACAAATTGAGACTAATAACTAAAGTCTTCAATATTTGAAGAAAACATGTAACAGAGATGTCATTAAAATCTTCAAGTGCATCACCACAGACACATTCTTCTTGGACAGGGTGGCTGTTTCTGAGCCCTGGAACCTCAGCACTGATAAAAGTGCTCTAACATATCAGTTTCACAGGGAATTTAAGGGGGAAATGAGAATTTGAATTAGCCTGATTACTCTCTCTTAGACATGTCATTCAGACTCTCAGGACTGGAATTCTGTCTGCAAGATGAGGACAGGGAAATGGAAAGCAAGAAAGAATTCCTGAAACAAACTCGTGGTTCAACAGTGATTATTTCCTGGCGACCTCCTACATTTTCTGATATGTTTTTGAAGGAGAGTCTAGAAGTAAAGGAGTCGTCATAATTTTTAAACTCAAGCTTGATTGTAATAAACATTTTAAACCCAAGAGCCCCTGAAGCTCTTTTGAACATGGTTTCATAAAGCGTCACTTCTAGGACTAATTTTTTCATTTTCTTTTCTTTTTAAAATTTTCATTTTTTATCATCACTTTTATTTTAATTAATTAATTAAATTTTGCCTGTGACCACATACCTTGTTATTTGCCACTGCTAAAATTAATGGAGAGCAAACATTAAAACTATTGGTTGTTTTAGTACATGAATATATGGCACATCAGAAGATTCATTTTTGGTATCATCAAAAAGTACGAGTGTAGATTCTTACAGACTCATCTCAAGTAAAACTGCAGGTGCTTCACAGAAACCATTTTTTAATGATAGTGTTCAATTCCTTTAATATCTTAAACATTTGTTTAAGGAAAGCTTCAGTCAACTTGAGATTACTTATTTTAAGAACTATGGTAAATTTCTTGATTGGAAATAAATCAGCATTGCACTAATGCATTGACTAGGTATTCAAAACCTTTATTCTAAGTGGTTAAGTTTCAGGGTGCATAAAATGCCAGTTCTTGTGCTTTATCAATATCCTGTTCTTAAGGAAACTTTCTCAAGAAAGTTTTTTTTTCCTGCAACCATGTTGTTACAGCCAGATTTCAGAGTTTTTAATAATTGAACAGTACGACTGATAATATTATGTTAAAGGCTATAACTTGATATTCTTAAGAGTTACTGTCAATAAAGAATAAATATAAATTTTGTTTTTCAGATTCTGCTCATGTCGATGGAAGAGAAAATGTTATAGTGATTCATCCCGATTTTAGGATGATCGTTCTCGCCAACAGGCCTGGATTCCCTTTCCTAGGCAATGATTTCTTCGGTACTTTAGGTAAAAGCAATAATGATAATGACAATGAAAACAATAGCAATAGAAATAATAATACTAACATACTGGATTTCGATAACCAATGTCACCATACAAATATTTTTTTAATTTTAAAAGTTAAAAAAAAAAGAAAGAAATAGAAAGAAATGATAATAATAATGCTAACTTGGTAGCATTGCTGTAATGAGCTATCAATGAACGCCGTGTTCGGCATTACATTACAGATGAAATCTTTTGTGTTTCTGCATTCCTTTTTCTTGATTCTAATTTAGACATCGTGTCTGCAGGTTTACTTTTCCAAAACTAACTTCTAAAGTATATTCTAGCAATCTGCAAAAGATATAAATTGTTTAGAGACTGATGATGATAATTCCTCCTATTTAAGTATACATAAAGAAGCCTGCGTATTACATAGATATATATAATTTCTGAAGATATTCGACATCTGTTAAAGTTTAAAACGCAGTCTCAGAACCCCATGAAGATTATTTTCCAGTTAAATGGGGAAGGAATAAATCACCTTTAAATGCATATGTTTGCATGTGTGCATTTAAAATAATACTAATACAGTGCTGTAGGCGTAAAAAATAAAAAATAAGGGATTGTAAGCTGACAAAGTCTTTGCAGTCTGTGAGGTCAACCAAGGGTTGCCTCACCTAAGAAAAATAATAATAAAATAAAATAAAATAATACTAATACAGGTATGGGAGAATGAATACACTGACCTGCTGACCCCGAGTGCCCGTGGAGAAGCAGGTGGGGTGGGGAGACGCAGGAGGACTTCTCATTTGCTCTCTGCCTTTGAGTATCTCCCAACAGGTCATACTCAAGTATTAAGTAACCTTTTAACAGGATTAAATCTATGTAGAATAAACCACACATCACTCAGTCTCCTTTTCTTTTGCTCTAGTCATTTGCTCTGTTCACTATATCATCCTATTGTTGGAAGGGCTTTCTGTGCAGTTTTATACATTTAAAAATAGAAGTGCTTTCGGAGCAACCAGTGGCTCTTTAAATGACCATTCCCTATTTCCTATGGCATTAAAATGGAGTGGTTGCAAGCTGAATGTGGTTTTTTTCTCCTATAGGTGATATTTTTAGCTGCCACGCAGTCGATAATCCCAAACCCCACTCAGAGCTCAAAATGCTGAGGCAATATGGACCAAACGTGCCTGAGCCCATCCTTCAGAAGCTCGTGGCTGCCTTTGGAGAGCTCAGGAGTTTAGCTGACCAGGGGATTATCAACTACCCTTATTCTACCAGAGAAGTTGTCAACATAGTGAAGCACCTACAGGTATGAAACACACCTGGGCACAGAGGTCTAAAAGAAGCCATCAACCTTGTTTTTCTAGACCATTTAATTTATACCAAGTCTTTTAATTTTTATAAATATAATACTGATTCAGATGATATAATAGGAAGTGTTCGTAATTTAAATTTTAAATCTAGAAGACCAATCGACATTTGATGTTTAGCCTTTGAAACGACCTGGGTGAAGTTCTGTGTCATGGTCATTACCAAGGAGACAGGAAATTTGGTGGTGGTTTGGAGGTTTTTAGGGGCTGGGGAAAGAGAGGAGAGCGAGACAGCAGGAAACTCTGTTACTCTGAGACTTTTATACAACAAGCATGTGGTATCTGAGTGAAAAATATTTTCATTTTGAGAACAAAAACCTTGGAGATAGAAAGACTAGGAATGAACAGTATTGATCGCATACCTGTAAACACTGCAAAAGGGCTTTATAAGATGGAGTAGGTGAACGGGAGGTGAAATTCCTTGTAGCCATGGACAACGTGTAGTCTGTCGACCTCGGTAAATAAAACAGAAAACCTGTGTAAATTCTACTGATCACAAATAATGGTCTTTAACAGTCACAGCCTAATGACTCTTGACTTAGCCCAATCTCCAGTCCCCCAAGGAGAACCTAGAGAGGAGAGTAGAAGGCTTTATTCTGCCTCTGAAACCATCATAAGTCCAGCTCAGATGCCAGGACCGAAAAAGGGTTGAGGCAACCTGTGAAGGGCTCAGAGGACACGACTAGTGTACACTTAGCTGTTAGTAACACTTGCTCTCTGCTGCTCCTTACTTCTCTGGGCTCTGTACTTTTTACATTCCTTTCTTGTTCTATTATCATTTTTTTCATTTGTTCTTAGACCTGTGACGTCTCTAAATTCTTCCGAGTAGGCAGTCAACACTCTGTTTACACAGCACCTTTTGCTTTGGCCGATCTGGTACGCGTTTTAAAGGCAGGAGGTTTCAGAAAGCGTTGAAAGTCAGTGAACGTCAGGATCTGTGCCCCGATTCACTGTTTGAGGGAGGGAACTGCTCCCCTTAAAATTCTAGTATTTGTCTAAAAAGGAAAATCTTGCATTAAACATTAAAGAGCAAACATTAAAGAGACAAATGCGTGGATTCCTCCTGTCTGGTTTTTCTGACAAGGCTAGTTCATCTTCCCTAACGTTCATTTGATCATTATTGTCCTATCGGTTTTGTAAATCTCTGTAGAATCTGAGTTTTATCACATATTTAAGAAAGGAATTTTTTTTCCATACAGAAATTTCCCTCGGAGGGTCTCTCCCGTGTGGTCAGGAATGTGTTTGACTTCGATTCCTACAACGACGACCTGAGGGAGATTTTGACTAACACTTTACACAAATACGGGATCCCTATCGGAGCAAAGCCGACGAACGTGCAGCTGGCGAAGGAGTAAGGCAAACCCACTGTTGCTGAAATTCTGTTGAGCATTACTGTTCTGATTCGTAAGAGCTGATAATTCCGAACCTACCATTATACTCTACTGAACTGAGTTGGTGTGGAAATTACTTTCCACCGTTAAGCTTTTCAAATATACGTTGCTATTTGCTGGCTGGATTTCAGCTGAATAGCACTGCTTAGAGGCCTGCGAATTGAGAATTTCGATTATTTTGACTGTCCCATGAGTAGATGTAATGTAATCAAATAAAGGGAAATATTTGTTTCTTTAACAGCCTCTGTCCTTTTGTTGGAGTTACTGTGACTCTTACTATTTCCTTATCTAGTACAAAACCATTGTACAATCATGAAAACGATATAAAGAGATAACATGCATTTAGTTAAGATGTTCTTAATTATGTCACCGTATATTTTTCTGTTATGATAGTTTTCTAAATTTATCATCATATTAACTTAGGAAATTTTGGGTTACTTATTTTAGTTCGACAGATGAAAAAGGTAATGAAAATAAGTGGGTTTGTTTCATGTGGGCCAGTTGCCTACCCTTTATTTTGTAATTACAGGCTATGTACTTGACCTTAGCAGAGAATCTCACAAATATGCTGTTGACCAGAAAGATAGTTGACAGACTTTGTTAATAGTTATGTCTGTGCAAATTTATTAGAAAACAGTTTTAAATATGCATAACTTACTAACTTATAATAATGACTCCAATACTAACTTTGGCTCTAAATAATAGTCAATTTTCATAAAATTTAAGGGACAGTAATTACTTTTAAATTATAATTTAACTTGAGTCTCATATAGAAGGCACTCTCTAACTTCCTTAGGAAAAAAATCATTAAATATAAATTAATGATTAGTCTAGCTACATATATATTGTGTTTTGATGTACATACACATACATATACGTATATATCCTAAGTCTGTACGTGATTCTTATTTATTTATTCTTTGAAGTTATAAAAACTTTTCAGAATAGATGCCAATCAAACTAAATTATTAAAGCTTTAACAGTTTCTTCAAGGATTTCTTAAAGAGAAACAAATATTTCCCTTTAGAGTTATGTTAAGAATAGTCAGTAAATTGGTTTATAGTATAATAAGTTAGAAATTTTTTGAGAAGTATAATTTGGTGTCAGTTGCTAATTCATAAACTTTTCTGTAAGATAGTATTTTACTGATTGATTAGCACTGTTTATGGGCATTTTGGAACTAGTTTGGTAATTTAATGGGTATAACATATCTTCTATATTAGAAAGTTCAAGAAATTATCTTTACTATGCAAACTTATATTAGTGCTCATGTTTTTTTAACTTCCTTTTTTATAAGCTATGTCTTTATTTTCAATTGGAAATAAGACGGTTTTTATTACCATTAACAAATTTATATTATTAGAGTTCTATCTTCTTGGAAACCAGGTTTGTGATTTTAAAATAGCTTTTTTTGTCCTGTTGCACAACTTGAAATAAAGATTAAAATACCAAGTTGGTAAGATCAATCAAAAGAAATTTGTTGGCAATTTAAGTGTCTAAGGAAGACAAATAATATGATTCAACTTATTACCATCCTCAGTTCTAAACTGAAAATTTCTTGCCGTGGCTTGTTCATTGTTGAATGGCAAGTTAATTCCAACTCTGGTACTTACTTCTGAGTGGAGGCAAAGCCGCATGGAGCCTGGTCATGAGGACGGAAACGACAAGTTGCCCAGCCACTGCAGGTGACTAGAAATAGACGTAGAGCAGACGTGGAGGATGTGTGATGCTTCCTTTGGGGCGGAGATAGTAGCAGACAACAGTCTGCACGTGTAAAATGTTTTTTTCCTCCTCTGTAAATTGCAATGACTTGGGAAACTCAAAAACAGTGATATCATTTCATTGCCCTTTAGTGAAATCTATAGGTTCCGTATGTCTGTTTCTATCGAATTATCGGCCTCTTACTTTGAGAGGGTAGCATGGTAAAGTGAACAAAGCAATGGCCTGGGAATTCTGCAGTTAGTCATGTATTCATCCTGTATGCCCGCATCGGACTTGCAGAAAAAGATTCTACTGTATTGGTAAAATGGCAGCATTTTATTATAGATAGCGTCCCGGTGTAACTTATCTAATTAGGACATTTTTGAGAATGGAAGGGGCGCTATTAATAATAACCTGTATAAAAAGTGATGTAAGATAAGACTATCCCAGTGAGGCCAGAATAGATGGTCATCTTCCTAAGGTTAATAAGGTTAGCCTTATTAATACGGTTCCTTCCTATTCTAACGTCCTTTGTATTTTAACATAATCTTAACCTTCTCTCATCCATAAAAGCGAAAACTAATAAAGAAGAAGGGATGCTGACGCTCTTTTTTTCCCTGGCGCAGCACACTGGTGATAGTAACCACAGAGCCCGCTGAAGCTTGAAAGTCGTCCCCCGCCGTCTTGCGATCTGCTTGGACTTTGCCAGACCTTTGGCTAAGCCCTTCGCTTCGCTAGGCTTCTTGCTGAGCCAGTTGTCCGAGGCTGCTCCTGCCGCCTCTGCAGAGACCGTGTCAGTGCAGGAGACCCCCGCTGGCTTTCTGTTCCTAAGGAAGAAGGCCACAGTGTTCTTGCTGCTATTAATATCCTTTTGCCCCGAATGAAAAATTCTTGCTCGAACCTGTTATTTTCTTGCTCTCTAATCCAGCCATAGTGCTGCTTACTGGGCGGGAGCAAACTTACGTTGAGTCCAGAGCAAGATGGTCACAGTCCCACTGAAGATGGCGGATGGCAACCTGGTTGGCCACCCACTGTATGTAACTAAAAAGCGGCAGACGTGGCAGAACAGGGAGGTTCTCACGCGGGGCACAGACGCTGCCAGGGCGCTGTCCGGTCATCTCCCAGGGCACCTGCTTCCTCAGCTTTGGTTCCAATATGCTCTGGCTGTTTGGTGATGTCCCACTGGTGCTCGTTGGCGATAATTCTCCAGAGAGAGATGCCGTCCTTTGCCTTTCGTTCTAAACTTTGCGGTGACGGTACCGAACTCATAGGTTTCTGCACGTTTTTAAAAGTCCCAGTGTGATAATAGGAGGTGAATATGACTTAACTCCTTTGCGAAACCCGATACGTTTGGCCGAGTCTTCCCGGTTGCTTCGGCGTGCCATAATGCGGCTCTTCTTCCTCAGCTCCAGTATATTCCCAGATCTTAGTTCTAGGGTCACCATCGGCCACCTAGACCCTTCCCACTAGCACTTCCTGAGGTTTCTTATTACTCCTTTTTAAGTTTCTAATACATGGAAAAGAAACAATATGTATGCCTGCGATGGCAAACAACCAAATAAGGAGGCACACTGGGAGAAACTTGACACAGAGATAGGAAGAGTTGGGATAAAATCTGAGCTCTTAAGAAAATAATCTGAGCTCTTGAGTGTCCAATGTCAATTTCATGAAAAAATACACACACACTTAGGTCCCAGCACCCAACCAAAGACATATAGATTACCTGCTATAGTAGACATAGATATAAATTTCAAAGCAAAGTTTGCTTGTTTTTCCCTCAAATGAGCTTTTTTTTTTTTTTCCGGTCTCTTCGTGACTTTTTCTTTATATCCTTAGCTGTAGGACATCAGTTCAGCTAGACGTCAGGCCATTCTCAGTGACGGTTGGTTGTTCTTTAGTTTAGCTGTAATTTTGATGTGCTCATGAGGAGGCAAGAACAGCATTTAGCTACTCCACCATCTTGAATGGCGCCGTCAAATGAGCTTTTATTTCTGAAGTTTCTTTTATTTGGGAGTAAACATGCCGCTAGCACATTAATTCTTCCAAATTTAAAAGTGTGTTTCAGAGTAATTTATGAACTCTAACATGCTGGGGAAACATTTGTTTTAAAGGAAGAAAGACATCCTGTACTTCCTACCTCCATTTTTAAGTGACTTATACAATATCTTATCTTAAATTTGTATGCCATACTCTGTCTGACAGTTAACATAAGAGAATTGTCATTCATAAATTTACAATGGTATATAAATGCTCTATCTCTAAATATATTCATTAATAACAATAATGATAATGGTAATATCAACACATAGATAACTATATGCAAAGCACATTTGTACTCTCTTTACATGAATTTATATAATCTTCACAGAAAACTGTATTATAAATAATAATAATATATATTATTTCGTAGATGAGGAATATGAGGCACAGAGAGATTACATCACTTCCTTAAAGTTAGAAAGCCAATGGGGCCGAGCTGTAATATACATAATATTATTTCCAATTCTAAGGACATATATGTAGATTGATATGCAGATTGCAGGCAGTTTCTATATCATAGTGATTCTTTGGATACTGAAATTTAGCAATAGTTTTCATTTAAAATGGCCTTGAGATTTTAGGTAATCTACTTGAAAAACATCATTGACCATGATGTCATATGTGTATAATACACAAATTCTTATTTTTCAGAATGTTATGATAGATTTAGATTTTGGGATTTTAGCCATGTCTCATGATGAAAAATAAGTCAAAAGGTAGGTTAACATAGACTTTTGGCACAATACAAAGATCATTTTTAAGATCTCTTCATTCTCAATTAAGCTTTCTTTTCTCTCTCTCTCTCTCTCTCTCTCTCTCTCTCTCTCTCTCACTTTCTCTGGCATAATGAAGAATCAGAAATTAAAACACAATGTAATTCATTTAGAAAAAATTCCAGAAAACTTAATTTGGCTGCCATATATAAGAAGCATACTAGCCGTCATTTCTTCCTGATTTGGAACACAAAAGCAATTTATGCAGTCTTCTCAAAGATTGTTGTCATTTTTAAGTAAGTCAAAATTACAGAGAAATTATCTCTACCCCCTAAAGTTATCTTCATGTGTTTTTCCCTCCCTGTCTTCCCTAGGAGGCACATGTGTCAATAAAACATTTAAATCATCATCTATCTTAACTACAAATTCTTTGTCTTCAGCATTGTTGGTTTCTTTTTTAATGCTGCTTAGTTTGTTCTTAAGCCAGTTTATTTTTTCCCCAAAGC